TATGTAAGTATTATTGGCGACCGAAGTGTACATTTATTTTTTTTTATCATTCTATATTTATAGAATATTGATAAATCCATAGAAACATTCGACAAAAGATTTTTTAGAGATGAAATCTCGTGGTAAAATGTAGGTGATTCTGACCGAAAATTGAAGCGATGAAAAATTAAAATGAAGTTCTTGTTAAAGGTTGAGGAACATTTTTATTTTTCATGCTTCTCGAATCTATTGTAAGGGAAGCATATCATTGATCATTCATTGATGTATAGGAATATTTAAAAGAATGACATAAACCATTAGTATCTATCGTCGTGATGATATTTCCGGTAGGCGGAAAAAATATCCCCGGAAAAAATAGCCCACACACCCAAAACGTGTTAAAACCCACCCAATTTGATAGACCATAGGAAAATTAGAGTCCCTGAAAAAATAGACAACGAAAAAAATAATTAAATTAAAAAATAATTAAATTGAGCGAGTTTTAACACGTTTTGAATGTGTGGGATATTTTTTCCGGGATTCGATATTTCCAGCGCAACAGAACCGATTAAAAATACTTGAAAAAATTTTATGTCATCGCGCCTGGAATCCGCGATTTAATCGAGCGAAGCGAGGTTAGAATCGCGCGATTACAGGCACCGATGGCATAAATATGATTATTAATGAATGGCGTAATGAATGCCATTAATTAAATATACGATTCTTAAATAAATATAAAAAATATCGAAAGGTCATGCATTTACGAATAAAGATTTGAATTTAGTGACATACGACTAATTGATATTTCAATTTTTCGAAAAGTTGTATGACAGCTGACGGTGAAATGGATTTCAATATAGTATCACGAGTATTTTATTCACGACTGAATTAATGGAAAGTCTAAAGAAATGTTACTGTATAATTTGATGCTAATGCTTTTATTAATTTTTAATTTTTTGTAGAAAATATTAACGAATATCGTCCTGGGGAGTCGATTGATTATTGGAGACGTTGAAAAAATATTTAAAAATTCGAGTGGCTCCAATTTTCATAGGTTTTAGGATTGTTAAAATCATTCTAAGGTCCATAACCACGAGAATACAATCCTCTATTTTATTAGTTTATTTTATAATTAAAGGGTTTATCTGGTCCGAGATTTTGTTGGTTTTACGCAGCCATAAAATATCAAATTTGACCAATCCTAGTTGAGTATTTTAAATGTCTGAACTGTAGCAGGTCGAAATTTACCATTTTATATCGGTATAAAACCAGAAAAATCTCTCCTCTCAAGAGTTTCGTGCTGGTTGTGGAAATGCGGAGGGTGACGAGTAAGAATTTCAAATGAGGAATATTCCACGCTATTTCAACAGAAATTTATTTACTTCCCTTTATAAAAATGTGATACCCTGTGAGGGCTGACACATTTTCCCGGGATTTTTTAAAAATTGTAGCAACAACTACATTACTAGCCCCTAGGCGTTGTTCGTACCTGTTCGTTTACGATTTTAATCTCTACAGACTGGCTTAAGCGGTCCTTCTGCCTTCAGCCATGGGATTATCCCGCGTGTGAATCTACTATATACTCGCCATATACATCCAGAATAATAACATAATATATATATTGTTATATTAAAAATATAATGTTGAAATAGCACCGATGGTGGATTATACCTGTTACTCGCTAATCGTTGTCATGGAGCAAATGCGAATAAATAGGAAAATTCCCGATTGCCTTAACAATAAATATCTAATAGAGATATCGATTACGTACGGCCGCGGCTGTGCGGTCAGGATGTGGGACTGGATTCGGTTGGGTTCACGCGGGCTCCACAATTTGGTACATTCTGTCCCCCAGTTTCATTGTCGAGCTGGAGTTTTGTCAAACGAGACGACCGTACCTGGACAAGCGTTTTCCCTCAAATGAGGCTTTCCCATGTCACCCAGAAAATACAGTACCCAGCGGAAACGGGGATGTCAGTTGGAAAATTAGCTGGAAATTACACGGAAGAAAAGAGAATGAGAAAAGTCCAATGAAAATAACTCAAAAAAGCCCGTTAAATTTACGAAATGTTACACAACAATTTTTCAACATAAGATTCGTAAAATGTCTCTTAGATTTTACAGTTTCCCGTGATAATTACGTTTTATGCAATAACGAGGGCGATATCAAAGGAGCAATCATATAAACTTTTGTGATGGAGTAATAATTTAAATTGTTATGGAAAAGCTCTATTAGATTGGATTGGAATCATACCTGTAATTTCAATCCCAGGGTTTTCTCTCGAAATGAAATCTGTCATGAGGATCAATAAGTTCTCACCTTAGGGGCAGTGGAATATTCGAAAAGCGAGAAATTACCTATTTATATTCGCTCCATGAAATTGACTTTATCATGAAGACTTGCCTGTGCATACGTAACCAGCTTCTCTTTTCGGGAGGAATATGCTGTGAATGCTGTATGAGCCAATGAATCATTCAAAATATCCAGGAGAGTGGTCCGTTCATTTTATAACATCACGGAACAATTAAGAAAGTTACCGGGAATGGAGATATATTCCCGGAACAGAAACGTGACAGACGTACGTGCACAGGCCAAAGTTTACTGAGTCGGAATAATTGCTGACAGATAAATTAGAAAATTGGAATAATCTCGGTTTTGAATTTTATCCTCACATGTCCATTACCGCATGAATGCGTTTCTCATTTTAGTTGCTCATGAAACGATAGATAATTTTATTGTTGAATTCACATTGCGATATAAATCTATTATTATATCTTTTAGTTATAGTGATATAATATTATTTTATATCTAGTCATTAAAGTCACTTGCTGTTTTCAATTTGTAAACAGCT